TTTCTGGCCTGTTTCCCATTGTTAAAATCCTAATAATAGAGGATTGTCCAGAACTTGAAAAATAGGCAGACAACAAACGGGAACATGTAGCAGAAAAATGCTCGTGAAAAAGTTCATGTTAAATCCAAAAGCAAAAAAGCCTTATTCTTATTAAAGCTAAATTAAGTTTGTACAAATGAATGAACAGAAGCAACCATTTATGAAATAAATAGACAACTCAGACAAAGACACACCTGAAAGGTGATAAAGGAAATTCCTGTGAACCTGCCATCTTCTGACCGCATCTTACATTCAAGTTCAGTTACGGTGCCACAGCCTTTAAAGTAACTTCGAATATCATCCTCGCTATAGTAATATGGTATGCCACCAACATAAACCTTTGTAGGAACTACTCCATCAGTCTCACTGCAAAAACATGGGAACTGATGAACTCCAGCAATCAAGGGCAGCTGAGAAATGTTTTACAATTCAGAAATATATCAATAAACCACAGCCAACCAGATATAATTCACCTATATGGAGAAACAAAAAAACAAAATAAATAAACAAGTCCTGTTTTGATGCCACTGATGACCATGCTGGTCATGGGAAATAGGATTTTGCAAAGGAAGCTCCAGAGTCATTACCTTTCGGTATAATAAACAAAGTTCTCGTAGGCAAAAGGTATAAGGATAGTTTTCTAACCATGTAAAGGTGAGTTCTCAGATTCTCATCTCACATAAAGATCAACCATAATACTAGAAAAAGGTTCTCTGCGCCGTTGCTTATATTGCGTAGCTCATTTGATAATAGAGGTTAATAATTTCTAATATTCGAATTAGCAAATACTCAACCTTTGCCTTTTTTCCTTCTGCCTCCATCCCTTCCTCATTTCTGAAATTTTCTAGGCAACCAAACAGAGCTAATTTAATCCCACACCACAAATCAGTTATTACATTAATTAGCAATTGAAATGCACCAGATTCTAAGTGAAAGCTACAATATACGAAAACAAATAAGCATTCAGATAATAACGATGCGTTCCCACTTATTTAGCCAAATGAGAAAGAAAAAAAGATTATGGTCAACCAAAAGCTATCGCCATTTCTTTTTAATTCTTTTTTTTTTTAATTTTAAAAGCTATAGCTAATTATTTGAGAAGAAAAGTTCAGATGGAAAATTGATACTTCAAAAGATTACCTATTCATGTCGTCATTGGTCTCTGCAATCCCCTGCTCTTCACTTCCAATCTTATCTTCCTTAATCTTTTCTTGTTTCTTCTTCTTCTTCTTATTTTTCTCCTTTTTTCTCTTCTTCTTGTTTGATTTCTTTGCTTCCTTCACACCACCTTCTCCTCCTCCATCTCCACTCAACTCTTCACACTCCATGATACCTCTCTTTCTCTTCTGCCTCTTCTTCTTCTTCTCCCCTTCCTCTTCCTCGCCTCCGTTCTCACCATTTTCGCCAACACTCACAATCACAACTTCCTTATTCTCTTCGCTCTCTTCCTCAACTTTCCTCCTCTTTCTCTTTTCTACGGCATCTGAGCTCTCTGAACCCTCGAATGACAGGTTGTTTCTTCTTTTCTCTCTTTTTGACAATCTAGGTTTATGGATAACAGAATCCAGAAGCTCTTTTAGAGACTGATTTTGTTGATTCGCAACTAAAGTCGTGTTTCCGTTCGCATTAGGGTCAATTCCTTTCACCGATGTCGCCAAAGATTGTGCTAATTCTGCTCTCAGTTTCTGCTTTAGCTTCTTATTGGATAATACCATCTTGCAATCATCAATAGCTGAGAGAGGAAGAGAGAGCGCGAGAACCCTAATGTTAGGGTTCTTCTGAGGGAGTGAAAACAGAGACAGTGTCCGCTGGCGCCACGCACCGTTTCGGTCTATGAGAATACAAACGACACCGTTTTGTACAGAGAGGGAGATTCCTGGATTCCTTTGGGTTTATGAATTTCATTTTAAAAAAATAAAAAAATAAAAGCCCAAACAATACATATCCAGGGCCCAAAAATAATAACTTGGAACATAATCACGTACATGTAAAAGCCCATTTTTTTTTTTTTACTGCTTATAAATTAAATTTGTTAGAAGGTTAATTCTCTCAGGATTTACTGCTAGTAAATATATTGAAGTAAATACCGTATGATGCTTTTAATTAAATAACAAATTTTTCACAGGTGGGATAATTAATGTTTAATTATATGATTAGAGATAATTAATTGCAAAACATCTTCTCAACTTCAGGAAATTACATCATATTCTGACTCTGTATTAGTTTGACATTGTAAGCCTAATTACATATTCAGATCCACTCAGCTACTAAACTAGAAGATTTCCCTATCTGAACAATATAAATACTGGAGTTCAATTATGGTCAATGATTTATTGAGTTAAACAGTCTTTTAATTCACTTAATTTTTGCAATATATAGATTTGGTCACTGTAAGCACAGTGTGATCAGAAAAGGTCAATTTTGAATTCAAGATGTTGTCGGTGTCACAAATTTTATTATAAAGTTTAGTTTTTATGAAAGTAAATGACTATCATGATTTCATATTTACAATTTCTTTGCTTACAAGAAACAATGCAGGCGTGAGGTAGACAAGTTATGAATAAACAAGCAACTTACATATATATATATATATATATATAATACTATTATCTTGTTTAATAAAATTCGTTTTAATTTGTTTTATTTTCGTCTTTAATTTTATTTTTTTAAAAAATAAAAATATTAATAAATTATTATATTTTAAAAAAATATATGATATATATATTTTAAATTATTACTCTAATTATAATATAATAACTGATTATATTAAAATACAAACAAAAAAAATTATTACTCTAATTATTATATAAATACAATATAGACAAACTCAAATCATAATTTTATGGAATATATAATCAATATAGGTAAAATATAAAATTTTGAATTAAAATATTGCTCTAATTCCATATCAGTTTTATGTTAATTTATATTAATTATTTTTGTCATTATTTCTATGATATATAAGAGTGTAATTCAATTTAACGTATTAAAATTTAAAGTAAAATTAATTAAATTGCGTACTAAATGCATAAATCATAACTTATTAAATTATTAAAATTTTTAGGAATTGAATGGAAAATAAATATTATATTTATAATTTGAATGAGATTACTTATTAGGTCTTGCACATGTATTTGAAGTCTTCTAATATATTACTTGCCTCTTGCTACAAGGTAACCAATTTACAAAAATCAGACAAAACAAACATATGTAAGCAGATTATATAAATGTAATTCCACTTCAATGTAAAAGGACATTGAATAATCTTTTAATCAAACTATAAATTAAGCTTATATAATCTTTGATAATGTCAAGTAGAAATATATATATATATATATATACACACACACACACATATGTATACATATAACTGAGGTGAATCAGAGTAATTGACAAGGTCCTCAATGACTACAGTTTAAATTAACAAATTCAAACTTTCTTGTTCATATCTAAATTTTGACTGTGGCAAACAAGTGCTTCAATCAATTTACAATGTATAACTACACATATATGTATATACACACTCTAAGAAGCTACTGACCTTCCAAGAAATCTCCATGGAGACCGAACTCACAGAAGAGTACTCAATATAAGCAAACTAATCATCTCTCTGGAAAAATCCCAACTGCAAAGTAAGTTCTTTTATTTTTCCTTCTGTTGAAGTTTAATTGATTTGATGTCCTAAAATGACTAGTTTGGTTTGTGTTTGCGCAGGAAGATTAATCAAGTTATGGGAAGTCATGTAATTGATCATATTGACATGATCAGCAGTTTACCAGATGAGGTACTCTTTCACATAATCTCTTTGCTTCCCTTCGAATCTGCAATACAAACTGTTTTTCTTTCGTCGCGGTGGAGACTCCTCTGGAACCTGGCATTAATTCAGCATGGAAGAAAAGAAGATGTTGCAGGAGCAGTCTCTGGATTTCTTGTCAATTTCAACGAGCAAGATCCAACAAAGAACAACCGAAAACTCAAATTTCATTTCGACAAAGGGCATGTCCTATTAGCCATTATTGCACCCAATAACAAACTCCATCTTGATTTCTCTTCAGGCAACCAAGAAATTTTCAGGAAGTATGGTTGGGAGTTAGAGCTTAATCAACCAAATCTGACCCTTCAGCCAACCCCTTCAACTTTCTTTGTCAAGTCTCTTTATTTGATCTCAGTAAATCATCTTACCAACGAGGCAGTTTCCTCCATGGTTTCAAATTTCCAGTTTCTTGAGAATTTGAAGATCATAGAGTGTAGTGGGTTACGGTCTTTCAGAATTGAATCCACTATAAAGCTTCTTCATTTGACTATCTTTGATTGTCCAATGCTGCAATCTCTCCACATAAAATCTTTCAAGCTCAAAACTTTTCGGTATCGAGGATTGCTGCCTTGGATTAAGCCTGAGTACCATTTTAACCTGGCTGATGCCATGTTTGATTCCAGAGCAGGCCCTGGTTATACCACCTTCAGTAGTTGTGATTTTGATGGAGTCCTACTCACAATCAAGAATGCTGAAATTCTTACACTTTGCAAATGGTTTTTCAAGGTATATATAGACTTTTATTTGACATACTGATAGCATTATTTATATCTTGATATATGTATGTAATTGTTTCTGCTAATTTAAGTCCTTAATGTTCCTGAACTGCAGGAATTAGTCTGTCCTTCGCTCTCCTCGTTTCGATCAGATTTTCAGTTCTATAAATTGAAAGAGTTATGGTGGATTGATACTTCGACCCAAGATTACAACAACGATGCTCTAATCTCCTTCTTGAAGCTCTGTCCTTCGTTGGAGCGACTTTTTGTTACTGTAAGAATAAAAAAGAAATAAAACTAACTTATTTATTAATTTATAAATAATAAACTTAGATTATTTCTTAATGTTTTGAGATAATCGGTTTAATTTATTATTTAATACAATATATTTTTTTTACTTGTTTCCTTCTTTCAGACTTAGTTACTTATAGCGCAAGGCTTTTTAAATCTGCAGATTGATCCTAAAGGCTACAGAACAGAAAGTGGTACTGTTACATGCTCAAAACAAGTAGGCAAGCACACAAAATTGGGACACCTTAAAGTGGTCAAGTTAGAGGGATTTACAAGTCAAAAGAATGAGATTTTGCTGGCTGAGCATTTGCGGGGCATACTCGCAGTGGAGCCCCAGATCTTGGCGAAGGCGGATGGGGATGATCGTGTCCGGAGTTTGGAGAGAAAGTCAGCCCAATCATATGACAGAAACTTTTGTTTCAAGTTTGTTGAGATGGAAGATGTCAAAGATTTTTGTCCAAAGCATTCTCACATGCGTGTCTAGGTAGCTAGTTTCTTTTTTGCATAATCTTTGAAAATGCTTCTAATTCTAGCTACACAAGATATATACGTGAAGATCTGGGAGATTTATATATATATATACATGTTTGGAGTGAGATCTGTGTTGGAAAAGTATTCTCTTATCTATACGAAATTCTTATGTAATACATAAATTTTCAGTGGATTACTTCACCAAACTAATTGGTTTCCTAGTTGTAAATATATTTTTTATTGGTTTTTTCTACTGTAATTACAACTTTCAAATAAAATAAACAAAGTTAATCAAAGCTAAAGTTTTGTTTAATAATTAAAGAATATAGGTAGTAGGTACGTGTGAAGAACTCTGCTGCAGTCTAAATTCTACTTCCACAAGTTACCCAATTATCATGAAAATCACACAACAATCATCTTCTTCATACCCGAGATCAGGTTTCACTTACATGTGAGGAAGGCAGATTAAGAGCGAAGAAAAGGAATAATTTCTTTTCGTTTAGTAAAATAAGCTCGATGGGCTCCAAATGGAAGAAGAAGCAAAATTAGAACGAAAATCTTTGAAATCTGATAAAAAACCATTAGTAATCTGATTGATATAAAAGGCTTGATTAGATGGTTTCTTTTGATGACTATTCTTTTTTTTTTTTTCTTCTCAAATTGATTGTCTCAAGGCAATGTTTGCATCTTTGGTAGTCTTGACATTGACCAAAAAATCTTAGTACTTTCTTCCTTATAATATAGTATATCAAGATGGTCACCCCATATACAAATATATATAATATAACCAATTAGGCTAATAATTTCATAATAAACAAAAGGATGAAATTTTCACTGATAAAAACAATAAGACATAGCCAATAACTTCCTGATACACACACTTACCACAACAAGAAACAGAATCCAAATATATTACTCCAACCCTTATGATCATAAACATAGATTCTCTCCATTAACAAAAAACAAAGAGAAATGTTGAATAGTGATTAAAATGCTTAAAAATCATTGGTGGGAAGAGGCTCGTGGGAGTCATTTCCAATGAAGATATTGTCATAAACTATGGCAGCAATGGCAGCACCAATGAAGGGACCGACCCAGTAGACCCAGTGGTGAGTCCATGTCCAGCTAACCACAGCAGGGCCAAAGGAGACGGCAGGGTTCATTGAGGCTCCATCAAAGGCACCACCAGCCAAAAT